AAGTGCCCCGTTAGCATTGTCAGCATAGCATGCCTTCATGTTAATGAAAAATAAACTATTGCTTTTTATCTGCAAAGTTTCTATGAAGATGGGTGAGTTTTCAGTAAAATGAAACAGCTTTAAAAAAAGGACATTAGATAACTCACACTTGAGAACAAAGTTTTTTTAGTCTATTGTCAAAAAATGTCAGCATAGTGGGGGAAGAACCCTGCATGCTAACACATTTTCCTTACTGCTTTATATTAATAATATTCTAAATAGAGTATGAGTATTAGATTTTTCTTCCTAGACTTTTAGAGAAATTTAAAACATGCAACCTGATACCAATAAACGATAGTGTAGGAAAGTCTCTACATGTCTAATCAATTCCCCTTGCATCAGATACCACAAAAAAATAGATCAGGTGGTCTTTATCATCAGGGGGGATGTCTGATAAAAGCATCTCATGACTGTAAATTAAAAAGCAGTAATGTGAAATATATATTTTATAAGGGTGCTGAAGCTCAGTCAAAAAAATACATGTTAGGAAATAGAAAAAATTCAAAGAATAAAATGGAAGATTCAACTAATAATAAAACACAATAAATATCCATACGCGTCATTGTGGGACAAAAGCATTCTCAAATAAAAAGAGATCAAATGAAACCTGCACACCCTCAGCCCTTTCTCTGTTGTTAATTACTGATTAATGATTAAACTTGCATACTGAAGATATATAACCCCTTTTCATGGGTCACATAAATATATTTAGTAACAGCACTGAGTGTTTTAAAAATATCTATCTTCTGTGGAAAACAATGAAAAAGCTGATAGTGATTTATTTGTTTCATACTTACAAGACATAATTTTTTTTCGTTTCCTAATAAACTAATGAATAATTTTGTACTATACAACTTCTTGGTTATCTCTAACAGATATTATGTTTTTATAAATTACATGAAAGTTGTAAATTCTGCTGTTGGATTCTTCATAACTTAGATACACTGTTGGACAGCAACAAAAAAACAAAAACAAACAAAAGACAATGACAGCTATAACATAATATAGAAAAACAGAATAAATTAAAAAGGTTAAAATGAAAAAGCAAGGAAAAAATAACAGATTGAAATGTATTTTCTGAGTGTTCCGTCTTTTCATTTCTAAACCAGTAGATGTCCCTGTCACTGATCACCATGCAGACCTAAATATTTGTCTGTACATCCAGTCCAAAAAGTGATAACTTGGGCTTTTCAGGCCAGTATTGGTTATATTTGGTGCTTGTAAATTTGCTACCAAATGGCCTTCAGCTTGTAGATCAAATGCTCTGTAAATCATCCTGATGCATTCTAAATACAGAAAAAAACGTAACATTGTTTGGTTAAACTTGAAGTTCTTAATGGTTTGAAATATACAACCCTTTGTGGTTTTAGATTAAATATTTCATAAGCACTCCGTGAGTACACTGTCCCAAGTTTTTCCAAGTAGTAGTAACACATGGCGTGTTCTCATGATCTAAGTATTTCCAGTACAGCAGCACTTTGCACCACTCCCTGGGCAAACAGAAGATATCCTAGAACTGCTCTTTCACATGCAATCATACCTGCTCACAGGATGCAGGTTAGAATTCATTCCTAAATAAAGGACTAAACAACATCAAAAAAGGAAAATTAATAAATAACTTGTATTTCTCATTGAGATTAATAGGAAAAATGTCAAGTTAAAAAGCATTCAGGGCTGTGGTGTACCCCTTGTGAAAGTTGGACCTTTGAAGCTGCCTTATAGAGTTGTAGAAATTAAAAAAAATAGGATAGATCTTGCAAGAGTTGTATTCATTCGAGCCTTATACTAAAACAGTCTTTTCTTCTATCAACTGTAAAAAAAATTGTCTGATTGGATTATTTTGGGCAGTGCACATATTTCCACATATACAGCATACCGGCTGCAAAATCCTTCTCAAACTGTTATTTGTCAATTACAGGAACTCCAAGTCACAAGTTGTTTGCCCTCTTGGTGACGGACTGCTTTCCCTGATTAGTCATATTTGCAGTCATGTGATCAGTTGGTGCAAAGCAGCAGATACTGGAATAAAATCTCTAAAAATCTCTGCAATGTGCTATAGGGTCAGTGCTCCAGGATGCTTAGATTTCTACAAAAGACTTCATAATTACCTAAATGTTTTGCCATATTTCTGAATATAATCCATTCTATAAATATAATCTGAAAAAAAAAAACTAATCTGCAAACACAGCACAGATAGTGCATGCCAGTTTTAATCCAAACAATGTGACAGATATGCAAAACATTTCAAAGCAGAATTTAGAAAGATGAGATGATATTCTCAGCCTTAACATCCTTAACAGAAGTGGTTAAATAAATGTATTGGTTGGTTGGTTGGTTGGATGGATGGATGGATGGATGGATGGATGGATGGATGGATGGATGGATGGATGGATGGATGGATGGATGGATGGATGGATGGATGGATGGATGGATGGATGGATGGATGGATGGATGGATGGATGGATGGATGGATGGATGGACTGAAACATATTACAAGAGATATGAAAGAAATTATTATTGTTATACAACTTACAGGTCGCACCTCCTTTAAAGGATCAGAAGATGGAGAAATACAAATAAAACCATGGAAAATAGCATATCCACAACTCCAACTATGAAAACAAGGAGCGACTGTATGCAGAGACTTTTTTTTAAGAAATAGAAAAGATCAGCTGCTACTGGTGTGATTTAACGGAAAAATAGAATTACAGACATAGAGGTCATTAAAGATGATACTGAAAGTTATAACTAATACTATACTAATTAGCCATCAGTGTTACACAGTGCCTAGCGAAAGCATTCAGCCACCTTGCTCTTTTTGACCTTTCGTCACATTTCAGGTTTGAAACATAAAGATATAAAATTGTAATTTTTTGCGAAGAATCCAAAACAAGTGGGACACAGGTATGGAGTGGAAAAAAATTGAAAATTTTTCTAGAAATAAAAAACTGACAAATTGGTTGTGAAAAATGATTCAGCCCCCTTGAGTTAATACCTCGTAGCCACCCCATTTTGCTGCGATTACAGTTTCAAGTTGCCTGGGGTATGTCTCTATCAGTTTTTCACATGAAGAGACTGAATTTTTTGCCCATTCTCTATTTATCTATTATGACAAATAGTAGTTTGCTGCACTTAAAGTAAAGCAGCTGAGTCATTTTGCACGCCCCACTCTTCATTTATTTGTTAAAAAAGTTTAAAAAATCCAATAAATTTCAGTCCACCTCATGATTTTGCCCCACTTGTTGATTCTTCACAAACGATTGAAATTTTATATCTTTCTGTTTGAGGCCTGAAATGTGGCAAAAGGTTAAAAAGTTCAAGGCCACTGTAAATCTCCAGAAAAAACACACAACATACTGTCATGTTCAATGGCGTAAATAGCAGTAAACTGCTATTTTGCAACTTAGAAATCATGGTGAGGTCTGAAATTGTCATCATGGGTGCATGTCAATGGTGAGAGACATATTCTGATAAAAAAAAAAATACAGAAATCACAATATAACTTTTTTTTAACAATTCATTTTTATGATACAGCTGCAAATAGGTATTTGAACACCAGGGTATCAGCTAGAATTCTGACCCTCAAAGACCTGTTAGTCTGGCTTCGGAATGTCCCCCTCCACTCCATTTATTACCCTAATTTAGATGCACCTGTCTAAGGTTGTTAGCTGCATAAAGACACCTGTCCACCCCATTCAATCAGTAAAAATCCAACTACTAACATGGCCAAGACCAAAGAGCTGTCATAAGACACTAGAGACAAACCTGTACACCTACACAATTTTCCTCACTATGAGCCAATGCTGTGCAATTATGTATCTGATTATGAATATGATTAATAATTAGAATTAAATATTTTAACAATGTATTATTCTAATCAAAGTAAATTCATATAAATGCAGTTTCAATTGATTGTGATTAATGGCTAACAGCTTTTAATGATCTAATATAAATAATTAACAACTAATTGTTAAATAATTAACAACTGTAGTTACAGTTTGTTTACAATAATCTGGCAGTACAACAATGACATATGAAGTGAAGACAATTAAAAAAACTTTCTAAGATTTCTAAGTCCTTCTGTGAAATAACCCACTATAATAGGCCTATTAAATCACATAACATTGGCATGCATTTGTGCTTTTTATTCAGAGGTATTGATATGTTGGGGCTACATGATGGAGCAGTTAGCAGCAGTGATTTTGCGGAAAATGGTCCTGGGTTTTAATCAGGGGACATTCTGCACAGAGTTTGCATTGTCTGCCTATGCATGTTCTTTTCAGCTAAATGCCAAATAGCCAGTACTTAAAGTATAAAGCATCAGCATTCCAAAGCTGCAGGACAATCTTCTGCACCTTACTCAACTGTTGTCCCTAAGTTACTTCTGCTTCCTTCTCCAATACTGAAAGATGAATACTAGTTCAACAGGTCTCTCAATGCATGGTTGTTTGTGTTGTCTCGTGGTGGACTGGTGACCTGTCCCAGATGTACTCTATCACTTTTCCCAATGCCTGCTGGCGATAGAAGCCAGCCCTCCCATAACCCTATAAGGAAAAGCAGTTACAGACAATTAACCAAGGGATTGAATAGACATCACATTTTGGACCTCCTTGACCTAAAAGTCATTTTTTGACTTTTAAATTTCTGTGGTAGCCTTACTGACCTCAACTCTATGCTACGGCAAAACAAAATTCTATTTAGAACAAAAAAACACTCAGAAACCTGATAAATAAAGTACTTCATATGGATAGCACTGCACATTCCCTCTGTTAATTTTCTATTCCTGAGGGTTTTTGTTCTTTAATAACAGCCATGGTCTTAACAGCATTTGCAACACTATTTTCAAGGGTCCTGTAATTGCCTTAACAGGACATCTTTCATGATAAATAGATGAAAAAAAATGAAAGGAGAGGCAGATAAAGGAGGAGGGGGAATATAAAAGTGAGGTAACAGAATGACAGAGGGTTATCTATGAAACAGTCGCCTTTTCTTGATGAGACTGTTCTTCTGGTTTTAACCTTATAGGTGTCTCACATCATTTTCTGTCTCCAAAATGTAATCTAAGTTTAGTACTCTCCGATTTTAATGTTGGTTCTAACAACCGTCTTAAAGTTAAAGCTTGATCACTATGGCATCTACAAAAAACAAAAAGGCCAAGCTGGAACAAGACCGCCTAAGAGCACTTTTTCGCACCTACGATGCGGACAACTCAGGACGGATTGAAAAAAATGAATTTTCCACCATTTGTCAGGAGCTCCAGGTCCCATCTGAAGAAGCAGAAGGCATATTTAGCCGCCTGGATGCTGATGGTGATGGTACAATTACCTTAGAGGAGTTCCTCAGTGGATTGCAAGACCAAGGTCAGAAGAATAAAATTGAAGAAGGTGAGAAGTCTGTACCATTGGAGGAGTTTTCTATCAACAAAGAACAGGTCATGATCAGGTAAGTAGGTAGATATCATATTTTTCGTATACATCATGCTTCTGCTGGAAAATGTGACATGAATTCAGAGTATAAGGTATTTAAAGTGTAGTTATAGTAACATGTGAAGAGTTTTGCAAACACTTCGACTAGAAATAACACTACATAATGAAGGAATTAACATTTTTAGATCACCATTATTTATCATCTTTTGTGAACAACTAAACTAAAGTTAATTTAAGTTGAATGCAAAAATGTTGACAAACCATTTGTTAATCAACATGTATACCCTCTGAATGAGTTAAAACTTCAGAACCTTTAAAGTTCACATTATATAAAAAGGGGAGTGGCGGCCTAGGGGTTAGGGCATTGCGCTTGGAATCCAGAGGATCCGAGTTCAGACTGCCACTCTAGGCCCCCGAGCAAAGACCCTTAACAATGCTCCCTGGGCGCTGCACAATGGCAGCCCACTGGGTTAAATGCAGAGATTTCATTTCATTGCTCTGCACTTGTGATAGTGTAAAGACAATTTAAAAGAAAAAGCTGATAAATCATCAAACTGAAAGGACTTTGTAAATATACAAATAATTTACCTTGATCTGTGTACCGAAACATGTACAGTATCACCTCCTTTTTTAAGCTGGATCAATCACTGGCTTCAACCATCTTATCTTTTAATATAACAATACGTTATGTTTAGTATCCTCCTGGCCTTTTAACCAGATGGTTAAAAATCTTGACGCCGGTTTATTGCTATATCTAAGGATACATGCAGGTCAGCCTGGTTTGAAATTAAGAAGCCTTTTTTGTATAAAGGAGAGAGGGAAATAACACTTTGATGCAAGGTTAAAAAAAAAAAAACATGATTTGTAAATTTGGTAATGTTTTTCAGCTAAAAGTAGTAAGGAAAATAATCACCAAAAATGTTCATGAGTTCCTGTCAGTGTGCTGAAAATAAGGAATTATATGTAAAGATTTAGACTGTATTGTGCATTCGTATTAACATTCATGTACTATCTCATATATCTCATATACATGACTCAAGTAATTAAACTAATAGCATTACATAGCTATCAGATAATTATCTCTTAAATACTACAATTCTTAAAAGAAAATCGCAATTACGACTTGAACGTGTAGACTAATGTCTCATAGCCATCCAATAATGAGTGAAGTTTTTAAACAGTTTCATAACTGACTTTACAATCTCATAATTATGAAAGTGTTAGATGTCATTATTTAATTATAAAACCATTATCACATAAAATCCAATAATCAGGATATAGCTTAGCCATAAGTTGTAGTAACAGTCGTTCCACTATATAGCATATAGATGCTTCATTATTGTATCGATTTAAAACATATTTGTCTTATATAGGGAAATTCTTTATTATCTCAGCGATAATACCTCAAAAAAGTATGGAAATCTCTTAAACATGAGATTCTCTCCAAAGATTTATATCATAGTTTGTCAAACGATGAAATGGTGCATCGTAATCTCTTAATTATGAGATAGTCGAGGTTTTATATGGAATAGTTGCATAAATAAATGATTACTACTAAACATTTTTATCTTTGGTAACTGCATACTATAATGATATAATTACGTCACACTGCCTCTTGCTTACCTATAAGTATCTATATCATTAATTCTAATCATACCCAAATAGTAAAACAAAAATATATACATATAAATGTTAATTGGGACGCTTGTATGGAGATGTAATGGTACGAAAAATTCCTCTTGAAACCCACCTGATTCTGAGGTGACTGACTAAACCTTATTTATAACCTTATTTATACCCCAACACATGGTAGATTTCAACAGGATGGTGAGACGTTTGAACACGACACCAATAGCAAAGCAGACAGTGGTACTTTGAATTACTATTTCAATATCTGTGTATAGTTCATTAGATGGTTGGTTAAAAAAAACGCTATAATATGTTTCAAAACGCAATAAAGATCTTAAAAGAACTATGTATTTGAGTATTTTAGTTTTTACACTACTACTTGGAATTATGGGTGGTCCAGAGTGTTGTACTTTATATGGGGCTCACACAGATAATGTTGCTCACGGGCCTGTTGTTGTGTCGTTACGCCACTGAATATATATATATATATATATATATATATATATATATATATATATATATATATATATATATATATATATATATATATATATATATATATATATATATATATATATATATATATATATATATATATATATATATATATATACCTTAAGGATGACAGTAGGCCTATTTTTATTTTATTAAACGTATAATCCCAATCCCATAGTTAAATCCACACGGTATTTTTCATCGTAGCGGAGGAATTTGCTTCCTTTACTGCGTTTGCCACCAAATGCAAAGATATCGCAGCTATTTTCCATCTGCGTAAAGTTATTGTTAGAGAAGAGAAAGAGGAGGGGACAAACTCTGAGGGCAGGTGCGCTACCTGAGTCCAACATACTATTTTATCCACAGACGGAGGATTAGTCTTAGTTTACACACCTTATCCAAAATTTGATCTGTGCGTAAAAGTTGCGAAAAGTAGTACGCAGGAACGCGAGCTTTTTTTTTTTTTCTTTTTTTTTTTCTTGTGTTGTTTTTCTGTCATCCCAAGAAAAAGACACTGGATACTTTGTTTGGTTGATTGGATTCTCTGTATCGGCGGTGATTGTAATTTCATGAAAAGTCCTCCTTTTCGCCCTGCAGCAACCCACAGCCTTCTGCACAGGGTATGAGCGCTGACGAGAAGGACCGGCTGCGCGCCCTCTTTCGCGCGTACGACGTCGACAACTCCGGGCGAATCGAGAGAAACGAGTTCCTGACGATCTGCGCCGAGCTGCAGGTGTCAGCGGCTGAGGCGGACAGGATATTCCAGAGGTTAGACGTGGATCAGGACGGAACCGTCACTCTGCAGGAGTTCATCTACGGCTTTCACGACCGCTACGGAGAGAACATGGAGTCAGACGGAGGACAAGTGTCCATCGCCTGGGACACCTTCGAGAAGAGGCTAGGGGACCAGGCCAAGTTCATCCCGAGGTGAGAGAGAGAGCGCACCTGCACGGCTGTCTGCATGCTTTAGAAATATGGAAATGTTCAGAAAGATAAGAGTCCCTTTAACAGAGAGCTCAGTGTGCGTAAAGCTGATGCTGACAATTTATCTTTAAAGGCTACTTTTAAAGACTCAAAAATATGTGCAAATACAGCCCTTAAGAAAAATATTTCACTGTACAGCCTATGTTGTGTAGGAAAAGTAATCGTCATGTGCGTCTTTTCTCTGGAGGAATGAAAGTAATGAGTCTGTATGAAATTCAGACAGTATGGCTATTAAATGATGTCTGTATAATACATTTAACACCAAAAAAGAATAATGTTTAATGTTAATATAATACAACTTTGTTTAAGTTGAAACATTTCAATATCATATTGTTAATAAGCATAAATATATAGAGCTTTACATATATTATATTATATATTAACCATTATTAGCTGCTATTTGTGGATTTTATATGAAGAGAGAGGAGTATAAAAAAAGCTTAATACATACAAGACAGCAATTCTGGATCCTTGTATGAGGAGTATCTGATAGTAACTGCCTATTGATTTCATGCTAACAGGATAAGAACACTGCTGTTTCTTCTTTATGATTGATTCAGGATGAAAAATGTCAATGGATGAATAATTTTCTTAAATTGTTTTAATTTTTGGTTATACGTCTCTGTAATTTGCCATTTATCCCTGTTTTCTTAGATTGTTTCATTCAGAAAGTATGTTTCTGTTATCTTTCAACTCAAGTCAGTTTTGATTTTAGAGAGCAGGTCAACTGAGATACTCTAAGTGCCTTTAAATAATAGATTCAAATCAACGAAAGATATGCAGATTTTAAAACCCCCAAAATCTCATAAATGCCCATTTCAGTAGAAAATATGGAAATGAAATACATACTAGATGAATGATTTGAAAGAGGACTCATATACACTGTCCAACTTGCAAGAGAAGACATTTGCCTGATGAAGGTCTAGTACAGAAAAGTTGCAAAGAAATTGCATCTCTTGCAAGTTTGACGATGCAGGAGTCATTTTTAAAGTTTGAGGGCACCTGCCCAGGGACATGCTGATAGAACAGCAGCCCTCTGACCACCATCAGTTGGTAATACATGTGAATTTGTTTGCCTAAGAGAAACACAGAGATTAACTAAACCAGCAACCCACCAGTTGCATGGCAAACCACTACAGCCAATGCCACTTTTGCCCTAATGCAAAAGTGGCAAAAATTCAATAATTATATAATAATGAGTCTATTGTCATGTATTGTGATGCCCTGTGTGATTTGGTAACCTGTAAGCAAACAGGGGTGTATGTCAATGTCTCAAGGTCTTTATTTTGCCGGCTTGATGTCTTGGAGATTACTTGCAGAACGTCTATCACTGCTTCAAACAATTCAGGCCCTGATCTGGATATATGATATTTAGTATATATTTAGTCAAATATTTCTCTCATTTAAAAAAATATATATATTTATTTTCCTCTTGTAGACCTTTAAATAGCTTGATAACTTAATGTAGTGTTGTGTCTCATTCTCATCTAGGGAAAACAATGTCTTCTTTTCTTGTGAATGTACAGGGTAACTGCTGATTACAGTTCAAACCTGATATTTACATAAACTGTCAAAATGAAAACATGTATACTTCCTGTATAACACTAGCCTGGGTGCCAGTCCGAACTTAGTCCCGCCCACAAGGTTTGAGTTCGGGGAAGTTCGGTCTGGCTCTGCTCCATAGTAGCGCGAGTATTAAAGCCCACTGTCAGGCGATCCAATCAAATTGTCAGGGCGGGCTTTATACGATGATGGACAGATGATCAAGAGTAACGTTATCAACCACGTGACCAAAGCGCGCTTGGGTGACAACAATAATGGCTGCCGCTGGAGAGTTGAGGTGAGTAGATTCTGCTATTAGGTCTGTTCTAGAAGATATCGACAGCAAATTAATTTTAAAAGAGGAACAGAGAAACGCGATCAAGTCTCATCTTCTTATTCTAGGCGTGAAACTGCACGCTTTGATTTTTGTGGACAACAACTATGCATCGCTTAACATACGTCACGCACTCCGTTGCTCTTATTGGTTGTAGTTCTATCCAATTGAGTGCAGAGGCATTTTTTTTTCCTGGTTCGTTCAAAACACGCCCCATAATCACAGCTCTATGGAGCAGTATCAGACTCATATTCTGACTAGAATTGAGTCGGACTACGTCAGGCTAGTATAACACCTAAATAATTCAAATTTTCATTAAGTTGGTCAGCCAAGGGTTGTCAACAAGTCAACCCTTGTTATAATTGTTGGAGAAGTTATTTTGTGATCTTTTTTTTCTAACTATCTTAAAATCAGAAGTTGTACATAGACTTTGTACAATTTGTTTCTGGGAGCAACTGAAACTGATTAACAAGACCGATTTGAACCCTAGCTTTATCTTGCTGGTTTGTTTTTTTCAGTATTTCCAGATAATATTCCCTCATGATTTTGTCTATTTTGTGAAATGCACCAGACCCTCCTCCGGCAATATAAGCCCACAGAATGATGCTGTCGCCCCCATTGCTCCAACTAGGGATAATTCTTTCAAGGAATTGCAAGCCTCCCTCTTTTCCATCCAAATTTAACAATGGCCAAAATGGCTAAACGACAAGACCATATGTCTCCAAAATTACAGTCCAACCTTAGGAAAGTCAATTTAAGTTCTGTGCATATATCACTGTGTGTGTTTGTGTGGCCAACAGCCCTGCATGAGACTGATCCTCGTGCCACAGAACTGAGGCATCAGGACATTGATTGTCACAGTGGTGTTTTCTGCTGAAAGAACTCGCTTATCTTCAAACTCTCACAGCCTCTGCTTCATCAGTCAGCTGAGAGACAGTAATTTGGAAAAATGAACTCATACCTCATATTTTCTTTTCCAAAAGAAGAAAGGATGTTTTATGTCTGAAAATCAACAGCAAAACATCTGTAAAATTGCTAAGTGAGGGTTTTTATTTAGTTGATGTATGATTCTCATTACTTTGTGCAAAGCTAAAAAAAAGTATGCCATCCATTTTTACTTTGCACCGTGATTCTTGCCTGAGCTCAGCAACGCTGTCTAAATTACCTCTAATATCCATGTGATTTGTCCCCGTTTTTTACCTCTGACCAAAACAAACATGGAGCGAGGGCAGAAAAAAGATGAGAGTCCACTCAGAAAAACTGTAAATCGTCGTCTTTATAATAACCGTGCAGTTGTCGGTCGTGGCCGGTGTAAGTCTAGTTTACATAGATAATTTTATAAATAGTATTTTATTAGTCTGTGTAGATCATATATAGGCATATATCTATCTGCAGTCCCATTCAAGTGTAATTGTGATTTCTATAATCACTAGTTTGTCAGCTCTGCACTGCTATAAGTGCAAAGATGTCTGCCTCCACAAATGCAAACCCACTCCTAATGTAATTATAAATAGCCATTTCTAAGTCAACGCAAACATAAATACTGAGACTTTCAGTTCATAGATGACAATATATAACATACATATAGATTATATATGTATGTTATATAATCCCTGTAAGTACTACACACTCTACCTTTAACATATCCTCTTATAAGTCCCTGTGATAGTAATCTTAAGTAAAGTGTTTATGAGACAATTAAGTGCTCTGCCATCGCCCCCTACTGGCTCTGGTTGTAAAACCACATTTGAAAGTTTCTGTGCCACCAACCCTGTTGGCATCTCACAGCTCTGTTCTTGTTGGTCATATTTAAAGAGTGCCTTGTACCCGTGTATGTCTACTGTTGAGATATGTGGTTTCAGCACATACAGTAATTCATCCATGACTTTTGACATCCTCAGACTCTATGGGGGAGAAGAAAAATGCTAAATACTCTGAAAAGTGCAGCATGTTTGAAATAGGATGTAAATTGTACATTGCATTAACAGGTGTTAACACTGCTTAATCTCTATTAATGTTTCCTGCTTGCTAAATGGTATAATACTTGCAAAAAACTTGTTAGTTTTATACAAACCTATAGTCAGGCAGTCTCGGATTTCGATCACTAACTTATTCAATAGTGCAGTGTTAGAGCCGGACAGTATTACAAGCATTTAATAAGTCATTTGTATGTAGTAATTAGTCAACTGAGATTTTACTTGTGAAAAAAGACTTGTAAGCATCTCAGACTTTCCCTGATAAAGAAAAGCATTGCCAAAGAAAGATTTTGGCACAAATTTCACAGTAAAAATTATGTTTCGGTGTAGTCCGCAAACAGCAATTTGCATATGTACCATAAAGGTGGCAATTCCACATTCCCACAGCCAGTTTTAGTGTCCATGGATCAGTTTGCTGGGACCTCCGCTACCGAAAGCTACATCCTCTTAAACCTGACCTTTCTGCTGTTGTTTTCCACTCCTACGATGTTGTAGTTCATTGTAAATTCTTGAGGGTTATTACAGTCAAGGAACTACAAAAATATACATCTTGTAAATGTACACGTTTGGGTTTTATTCAACTTCACAGTTGAGCCCTTCTTTGTGCTGCTCTGTTATTGATGTGCTTGATGTTATAAACTCCATCCTAACAATCTGTTCTGTTTATATTTGTTAACTGCAGATTTTGCACATATTTTCATTTCGTTGTGTCACTACTAGCTACTGTCATCACTTGAATGGTTCAGACTTTAGGTTGTCCTTAGTTCTTATGAAAAAAGTTGGATGGATGGGTAAAAGTCAAGAAATATGCAAAAAATTACACACAAACAGCAAAGTAGTTTTCAACATATAGTTGTGATATCTTATAAAAAAGAAATGTACCAAAGTCCAAAGCTTAAAAGTGACATTAGCAGGTAAATTTTAAATTGATGATTTTTTCAAGTGAGGAGGAACCAGGAAAACTACTGTTTGGCAGAAGTAGTTTGAAGACCAAGCAAAGAAATTAGGAATACAAAAGCTCTGGTTATGATGATTTCTACCTTGATGTACACAGGAGTGTACGTTTATTTCTTCCAGCACAAAAATATATTACATCGGTGGATGAGACATTTCCGAATTGAAAGGACAATCCAAAAGTTTCTGGGTTTCATTTTCTTATGTTGTTTTTTTTTCATACGGTAATAACTTGCCAGGCCTTAATTGTAGTGGTCAAAATGTTTTTATAAAGACCTTGATTATAATATTAACAAAATGTTTTGTGATACAATCATTGGACGACTACAAAAGGCAGAATAAAACACTAAAAGAAAAAATTTTCAGACTTGAGAAATAGACAAAAAAAAAAAAAATTATTGCCGTCTGAAAGCATTTTTCAATGCCTCAAAATTAAACCATAAAGTTTTAGGAAATAAAGAGTAGTGAATAAAAACTTAAAGGTCTATGGTCAAATCAGAATCTAATAGATTCGGTAAAATAGTGGCACAAACAATGAAAAGTGTCCTGGTTTTCTTTTAGGCACGAACAGGCAGCCACTTTGTACCAGAACATCAGCCTGACTGAGCCCAGACTGATTCCTCAGTTTGAGAAAGTCATCGTTAATTTCACCAAAGAGATCAAGCAGCAGAACTCAGAGATGGAGAATCTGGCTCTTGCCATCAAGAGGTAGGTAAATAGAGACCAAATGTACCGAATCTTCTTTAAAATATCATTATTTGAGAACACTGGCAAAGCTGTAGTTGCACCAACTCTAGAAACATTTTATCGATCGAATAAGAGCTGAAATTTTACTTGATGAAGAATCTTTAGAAATTTACTGGTAAGAGAATGCAGCATAATTCTGGATAGCAAGATAATTAAGTACTTTTTTTCCCATTTACAAAATTGACATAAGGTTAAGGCAAAGATCCATTTGACTCACTTCCCCATATCCTTAACAGATTATACATATAACAAGATGTTAGTATGATATAAACTATTTAAAACAGTTTTGATTCCCTGATTTTGGAGAAATCTTGATGGTAGTTTCATCTGAATACATGCCATTGCCTTGGAGTCCTGTGGTGGAGCACAGATAAAACCCATGGAGGTTGTGAATTATAGCATGCTGATGCTTTTTCAGAGCACAGGACCAAGCATCAATGCAGCTCAGCGAGATGGAGGAGGAGATGGACCAACGAATCCAGGCTGCAGAGAGGAAAACACATGAGCAGGTGGGACAAAGCTTGGATTAACACATGGAAACAATGCAACTCTCAAAAGCATTTAGAAGATTAGCTTGTTTTCATATGCCAGGGTAGCCGATGTGAGCCGTTTCTGCTCCTTTCCCTAGAGTTTGTGTAAGCAGTGTGATAAGCAAACTGCGTTTGTTCAGCTCTTCCCTTATGTCAAACAAACACGCACAGCCGTATATCAGATTACTGATACCAATTCTGACACGCCTGCTGATCAGATGGATTTCACTACTCTGTGGATATAAAACCAGTTGGTGGGCAGACAGAGGTACTGGGGCATGGTTTATCCTCCTGTGTAAAATGATAAGGCTGCATATATTTGTGGCGATAAGATTGGTGGCATTAGGATAAAACGACAATGTGTAAGTTAAGCCACCATCACTGAGGTGTCAGATAGCAGCCAGTACTTACAAACTAGAGAACATAGTGTAACAATAATTTGTCCCTTAACTATTTTCATTAAAAACAAGACATTTCAAACTTGGAATCTCCATATCTATAATGCATGAAGGGCGGAAGCACTATAACATCAATTTGAAATTACCTTCAGATCATGTTCTACATCTTATAGATTCTTTGGTTTGTTTATTTTCTTTCCCTCTTATTTTAAAATGTTGTTTTCGCCAAGGTGGAAAGATTTATGCAATTTAGAAAACTCTTAATCTGTTGTCACTTTTTTAAATTTGTAACTCTAAACTTAAATTTCTGTTTTTAGGGTTTTATGTCATAATACTTTCTATTTATTTTTATTTTATGAACAAATAGAAGTACGAAAAGTGAGGGTTGCATTTGTATTCCACCTTGCTTACTCAGACACACCAGGGTGTCAACATGGGTGGTGAGGTTGTTTGAGGACCCAAATGCAGAGATGAGTGAGGCAGAGACGAGTTCTTGTAAGTGTAATGATGAAAAACTGAGGCAAACAACCTAAAACAAAAAAAATACTGAAAACCAAAACCAGCAAACATCAGGGAAACTCATGTGGGGAACCAGCAACAAAAAATAAGGAACCAGCACTGAGTTATGTACAATAAGTTATTTACAGTTAATTTGATCTGCCAGTGGAATTAGATAATTCGATATTATAAATTTGAAATAAGACAATGCACTTTTTTGTTATTTTAAATGTAAATTATTCCTTTGGTAAATTGCCTTAACTGCGTAATCCAAGAAAGAAAATTCCCTTATTTTACGAATTCTTATTTAGATTTAATTTTATTGCATCCCTGTTGAAAGCATTTGACTTTATGTTAGACTCCAACTAATAGATATTTGTACTACATGTAGCTGGAATTGATTCTAACATTTAAAAGATAGATATAAAGCACATCCTTTCTTTTAAAGCATTCATTCAAAGTAGGTGACTTTCCAACCTGAAATTGACTGAAATGGTAATTGTTGTACAAGTCAGCTCTCAGATCTCTTGATTTATACAACTTTATTTCATTGTGTTTGGAAACTGACGCAATTTACCTTAAGCAGGAGCATAAGCCTTGTCTTATCACTGTCCCAGTGTGTTATGTAAGGAGCTGCTGTTAGTTTAGTCGTAACATAGTCAATAAAATCAGAGGGTGATCACATGTGTTTTCCAACTGTGTGATAAATGTGCAGAAAGTCCGGATCTGACCACTCACTGAACTTCCTGTCAAGTTTTTTGTTAGTAGAGCATTAATGACTGTTCCCATTAAAACTGAAAATAACAGTTTTAATTGAATATTTTTTCAAATGAAATGCGATTTTGTGAATTCTTGTGTGTCTTTCCCCCAGGAGAAGAAGAGAATGGAGGCAGCACTGAATGAGTTGCGAAGGCAATACGACACTGAAGTGTGTGAGCTTCAGTGTAAAATCCAGAGGATGCAGATGGTATATTTCCTCAGCTTAACATCCAATTGACTTTAACACTTTTTGAAGGATAAACACCAAATAGACAAAACATTAAAACAAATCAGGTAATTCCTTGTAAAAATAACCTACATCCCTAGTTTTGCTCATGTTTTGTTAATGCACAAACATCAACATTACTCCATGCATTATTTAATATGTCTATAAAGTTTGTAAGCTATGAAATAGCTAATCTCCAGATTAGGATTCTAATGTTAAGGCTGAGTTAAGTAAATTTCTTAGGAACTAGCTGGTATCATTCCATCAGTTTTGTCTCTGTCAGGATGGACTAAATATTCCACTTACAGAACATTAAGTTAGAAACAAGAATGTATTATTTGAAATTAGTGTACATTTCCTTTATATCGACATGCTCAAAACCATACACACAAGTTCAAATATGAGCATGCATGTGTAATACTATCTTGTTTAATACTTTTGTTGTGATTAACAAGCTTTTGGCATAATTCTGGTTTGATATCTGGAAGCTCTGCTCTTCTTACCAAAATGAGTCAGTTTTCTGACACTGAACCGCCCTCAGAGCAAAGCCTATTATTTCCAATCATGAGGACGTTTTAAGGTGGTCAGAAAGGTAAGGAACCACCGAAGCCTTAGTTTATAACAGATTAAAATGTGCTTTAATTCCAGTGTGGCTGCTGTAGAACCAGTTTAAACGTGCAGTTAAGAATATTTGGATTTGGAAGGAATACCCTGTTTAAATCCACATCTTTAAGCTTGACTAAAATTTTCAAAATACCTTTGAGGGAAAAGGTTTACAGAAGTAATAAATGACATTTCTTCATTTTAGAATTAAAGAACTAAACAAATACTTTTGTGAAGAACTAAAGGTATATTTTCAGATACTATGGTGAGACATTGGAGCCCATTTGTATGTGTTGTTCTCTAATCTGCTGTTTACATAGCTGCACGTTTCATGTGAACATAAATGTGCACAATGGTGGATATGTGAACATGAATAGCAGCCACTCAAGGCTTTCTAACATAGCATAGAACCAAAATGGCAGAGTGCATCCAGCGGACCAAAACGTTCAACCAGCCAATCGGGAATATTTACTGCTGCAAAAAAACAGAGGTCTTTCACAGAGAAATTGTTCAATACGTAAAGGAACAAAACAAGGATTAACATTGGCCTCATGTTTCCAAAGACGTTATTGCTCCTTTTAAGTCAAACTAGACAGAAATGTAACTATTTTGTCAAAGTGGTTTAAAGTTAAAGCCTGTGAGCCATTTGAGTGTTGGCAGCATCATGCTGGGACATTTTTTTGCTACATGTGGCTCTAATGAGAGTGAATGAATTAAAGCAGCAATGCCTACATATTCTTCAACTTTACCTCATATAACTAGGTTGATGCTTGAAACCTTGGCACTAGTGGAACCAACAAAATCTTAGATTCTATAAAACATTAAACTACTGGAATGACCTCTGACCTTCAGCTAATTAAGATTACATGGCCATACAGAAGAGCAGATCAATGCCAGGAAACCAATATATAAACCAATATAAACAAACACATTTAGCAAAGAAGGACATGAAAACACCAGAGAAGCATGTGGAGAAGCATATGACTAATATTTGATAGATGCAATAATGTAAGCCTGTGTGTGTTTGGTTCTAAGAAAAGCAGCAATGAATTCCCATATTGTGATCAGCATCGCTGTTTCCTTTAAACATTGAGGTTGTTCATTGTAATATCAGTCTACTTACCCAAAAGAAAAGACATTAAGACATTAAACATTCAAAGACTGTTTACGTCAGAGGCGAGTTTATCTAAGTATGCTGATGACCTAAACTGTAAGTAATGAGATTTTTCACACAAAAAAAGACACTGGGGCAAAGTTTGAAGAAGTTAGATTAAAAACAAAAACTGCCTCTTTAAAATTAGTTCCAGCCCAGTCACACTGATTGTCCTCCCAAGAAAAGGAACCTTGTGAGTAAACATGTTTATTTTCAAAAGCCAAACTGAACTTGATGTAACTTTACTGAAATGATCTAGTTAAGAATTTACTGCTAGCCTACTTTTAATGAAGTATAAAAACGGTGAAATGTTCTACCCTCCAGATAGAGGAGAAATACAAGAACATCACCGTCAAAGATGAGAGCCCAGCTTTGAAGAAGAAGATCAATGAGCTAACGCTGGTAAGTTTGGATACACCTGCATTTATTAATTACACAATATCTCTGCTGCTTTGCTTTATTTTTCTGAGTGTCTGGTAATTTTTTATTTCTTTCAGGAAAACCAAAGGTTAAAACAGGAGCTGCTGAAGTCTCAGACCAAGGTTGCATGTCTGCAGAGTGAGATGGATGGATTAAAGACAGAGCTAACTGATCAAAGCATGAACTCTGAACGGTAAATTCTTGGGTCTTTATACAACTTCGCCGAGTTAATGAAGATTAACTTTAACCAAATACTGTATGTTTTATTAAAAGAGCAGCAAACTTCAGTTCTGCATCAGTTTCGGTTGGTCGGTCGGTTGGTTGTTGACTATTGCTTAAATGGAATAAAGACCTTTTATGGCAGGGTTTTTTTCACCCAGTTTTTTCCCTTGTCTAGTGAAATGTAGTCTACACACTTGGGACACCCTACTTACTTAGAAATAGGGACATTTAATATGAATTTCAACATTACTTTAAAAAATCTAGTTATATCGATGACAATTAAACTAAAATAAACACATTCTTAACATTTTCTTTTAACCATATTTATAAAAAGCTCTTTCTTGGAAAGGAATTTATTTCATTTTTTCTCACTTGAAATGGTTACATCACTTCAGGCAAACATTGTACACATTCTTTATTCAACTTTAGCATTTTAAAGGGGTTTTGCTCTGTTTAAATTCCACTAATTTACCTTGGTCGGCCTCTGTTAAAGTCAGAGTGAACACTGTGGTGAGACTGAAACAGATTGTAAAATTCAAGGAGCTCTCTAGTGATTTTGAAATCAAACATTTTATCTAACCCAGACCTTCTTGCTTCAAGACAACAGTGATACAGACTGCACCACTGTGCAAACTGATAATTTTTTACAGGGTGTCATATTTGTTTGTACATACTGTCTCTTCATACGGGTATAAAACTCATAATTTTGTCCTGAGGTTTCTCTATAACAGCTACCAGTGAACAGAGGGACAGAGATTGGCTAAGGGCCCTCCTCAACCTGCTGAGTGACGCAGGTTTTGCTCTGGGAAGTTTTGTTTTGTCAGAGCCGCAACAGGATATCCTGGAATGACTCAATACACACAATATCTTCTCCAAAGGAGTTGCCTAGCAACAGACGAAACAAAAGTCACAGGCTGATAGATACTTGGCCTCCACGCATCCTCTCATCATCCTCATACAGTTGCTTCTTCATCTTACAGCTGTTACTCAGAATTGATCTCAGACTTCCTTATTCTAATCTGGGGCTTCACTGCTCTGTTGAGAACTTAACAAGCATATAAAGTGCATGAAATATACATCACCTGTTGTTTGTTTTTCAAAGTTAGACATTAGAAAGTGGGTGTTTTCTGTCTTACTTTTTGCTGCAGAGACGAGGAGCTCATGAAACAGTTCTCAGACGAGCGAGACATCCTGGAAAGTCAGATTGAGATTCTGCAGTAAGTATAACATTAAAAGGAGCATAGAGAAAGAAATCATAAATGTAAAGTCATTTATTTTTCTCTGTGTGGACAGGACAGCCAACAGGAAGCTGCACGACAGCAATGATGGTCTGAGAGCAGCTCTAGAGAAGATCACAAGGGTAACCTCCCCTTTTCACAGTGAACTGGATGGAACCACCTCCTAAAAAAAAAAACTCACTACCATTTTAGACAATAACATAACTTTACCCTTCAGTTCACTATAAATTAGTGTGAACATTCTTTTGAATTAGATTTTTTAGGGATAAATGCAGACAATAGGAAAACAAAAAAGGTTTGCTAATGTGTGTTACAGTCTGGTAACGGTGGATCCCCTGGAGACATCAAGAACAGAATCAGGAGTAAAAGCATCTGTTACCCATCACCACATGCATTATTAGACAGGTAAATCAGAACAGAGAGGTATTTACCATCTTGATAGAATGCTGTTTTTATAATCTGTAGATTCTCTGCACTGCTATACAAAATCCTACTTGTTCTGCTGAAATGTCTTAATCTTAATGTCAGCCACTGCTACAAAGTTTCTAAAGTTATGTATGAACCTAAGCACATGGTAAGAAAATGGTTGTCCTAGTTTTTCTTTCTGCAACCCAAAGAAAGCAGTAGGTCTATATAGCCTGTACCTGTTAGTGTTAAAAATAGAAGAAAAAACAATTTACAAATATTGAAATGACTGAAGATTAGGAAGTTATGGTTACAAGAAATGAATCAGCTTAATTTACGAAGTCAGGATAATGGCAGAAAAAAAAATATTTTGATTATCAAACTAATTTACCTTAAAAATAACCCAAGAGGTAATAAAGGAAGGGCCAATTATGGACCCCAGAGGAGCTCCACATCTAAACCCCACTTGTCCAATCTGACAAATTCATGCCAGCTAATGGGATGTAAATAAGTCATCAAATGTAATATTCCTTTACTCAGGCTCGGTCAGCGTTTAGATGATTTCCCACTGTACAGCCGAAGGCCAAGTTGTGACACTCTGGCCTTGGCCATTTGTGACCCTGGGCTGAGGCGCAGGAACAGCAGTGAGTATGAAGAGGACAGCCTACCTGAGATCTACATGGACAGCGGCATGTCTACGCTAAGAGGCTCACATGGCGGCTTCGACTGGGAGCAAGAAGTTAAGGGTCAAGATGAGGAAGAAGAGGAGAAAAGGAAGGATGTTCATGACAACAATGACAGCATTCTGGGAGAAAACTCTGACACAGAGGTCAGATTTTAGAAGTTGAATCATCTATGAAATTCTATGCAAAATTCTGTCAATCAAAATCTGGAATTAAAGAAATATGTGAACAGATAAAAAAAAAACAGTCCTGAGGACATAACCACACACTTCTATCTCAGTGTCAAAGATACTGTATGTTTCTGTCACAGGTAGCAGAGACCCAGGATGCAGAGTCAGCAATTGGCTCAGACTGCAGCTCAATTTTGGATTGGAAGCCCAATGACGGGCCCAGTGTTACTACACCTCCTGCCCCAACAATGAAGAAAACTATCAGCGCCATCAGTGTTAAGGTGATGTTAAAATACAAGTTAAAACATTTTTCAATAAAAGTCATCAAGAATCAAGTGATACATATTACAAAACTACCAATGTTCAATATCCCTTTATTAAGTTCTAACAAATATACTAAAAATTGAAAATAATAAATAGATTTTTAGTGTACACCATTTCAACTTCTTCCGATTTTAGTTGGAAAAGGGCAAATGTTTCTGAATCTTCTACAATGAATAATCAATCATTTTTCATGCTTTTGAGATTCTTGCTGAACTTTATTACGCCATTTTCTTTAGTCTTGTCCTTTTACCTGACAATTGAAGATATTCTGCAGTGTCCTTAAAAATAAAGAACAGAAGAAGGGAGTTCCAAACCTAAAATATAGCCATCTCTAGCAGGATATGGGGAAACATGCAACACAAGATATTTTACCACGCACTCTGTTAGGAATTAAACTTCAATAGGAAACATATATGAGCTATCATTCTACAGAACCAAAGTTGAAAGTTTTTCATCATATTAAAAATTAAAGAATTAAAACCCTTCATTAGAAATGTGTTATTTATTGTAAAACATTCTTGCATATAAGGTAATGTGAATAAAGCTACATAAACCGTAATTACATGCATACATTTTTACCAAACAATTAGAAAGGTGTACTAAAAGTCAATGTGCACCTAGTTATTGCACAACCAAATACTTAATGAGATTATGTATTATCTACCAGATGGCAGTAACACTATTACCTGAAACTTTTCCATTTTATTCTCCATCATTCAGTTAGTGGGTTTCATCATATGAAACAGACCCCACTTAAAATGAATAAACAGCTGATTAAGTTACTCTTAAAAATAAGGGATACAGTAGGTGTCCACTCTCCCTGCAGAAGATGCACTATGAATTCCCTCAGGGATTATACCTTAAAGCACCAGTGCAGCGGGTGAAAGATGAGTTAGGTGTGTTTAATTAATCTCACACCGTCCTTTGCATAACACAATCCTTTTGTCTCTGTCACAGGTAGTTCACAAGTCAATTCTTTATTTAACTTTAAGTTAAACTTTTGAATGTCACAGCACAAATAGGTGATTACCCACACACTCTTGGATTCTTCTTCAGCGATGTTAGACGGCATAACATATTTTTATATATTTATTATATATAATTTTCCTTGTTCTGATCCCCACCGATGCTTTTCAGCCTTGGATTTGATTCTTCCCACTTATATCTCTATTTTTGCAAGTGTTTACTTCTAGGGAAGTGGTGGCGTATCGAGTGTAACTGGGTAAGATGAGAACAGTGTAGGTGAAGGTGAGTGTTGTCTGTCTCTGAGCAACCGTGACAGCAGCACACGCTGAGCTAAGGAGGTCCTGCTTAGATCACGCCATGCAGTTTTTCTGGCCTTCCCCAGGCTTCCCCAGCAGAAGTTTTGCTTTTTATGCCTTTTTTTCAAAGAATTTTAATGATAAGACAAAAAAAAAAGTTTATTCCACCCATACTTTAATGGTTAAGGTAAACCTTTTATTGTCAAGTGATGTTTTTCTTTTTATCTTTTTATCATAATAACACCAGACACTACTCTGATAACTCTGATCAAAAGTTCAGAGACCCTGGTGATTTTGGCCTGATAATATTCACATGTTATACAAATGACATTGAATGGCTTGTTAAGGTTATCATCCTCATCTATGAAGTGTTTGCTTGTAATAAGTGCGTGTGTGTATAAGAGCTAAGTCTCTGGGATCCAAACAGACTTGTGCATCTTTCATCCTACCACTGTATTGATTCCTATCCATTACTGCCTGTGATGCTGCTGTGTGTTTTCCCATAATTTCACTACGTGCTCTTTAAGCTGCACTGGCAGTATCTGGTATGAGCAGTTACATCTGCAGCAGCTCCAATTACTGTGAACTGCTGCATCTCAGAGGAGCACTATATATTCCTGGCTTTCCAGTGGGTAACCGTCAGATTCTTGGAAGCCATTTGTGTTAGTAGTCCATCCAGCAATCCTTGTTTTAACCTGATATTGACCCGTCTTGTCACTTGATGTCTGCATTGCCCCTATCGGATACTGCTGTTGGCTTCCAATCTCTGGACATTGACCTCCTGCCTTGCCACTCAACCCAATCTGCTTGCTTCTCCCTCTGTCTGGATTGTTCTCTCATCTTGTATGACCCAAGCCTGGACTTCGGCTCTGTCTACTACATCTCCCCCTCTGGAAAACTCTGCCCAGTTAGTATGACTCCCGTCACAGATTATTTTGTGTCCATTGTGAATTCCTCTCTCACCTAGTCCTTTTGGAAACCTCTGCATTTGGACTGCTTCTACCCCTGACTGACTACAACTCTCCTGCTCTTAGCACTGTCTAGATTTGGATCAGTCATTTAGTGATCCAAATCATCACAGCTTCCAAGTAAAATTCCTTGTATGTGCAAACCTTCTTGGCAATAAACTTGATTGATTCTTCTGAGAAGTTTAGTGGCTTTCAGTGTAACTTCAGCAGCACTTGGTTATTCTCAGCTACTAACCATGTCTCCTCCACACAGTGTTTCCAGTCAGATTCTGATCCTGTTATACCAATGTATCTTTTAATTACATTTTAAACACTTACTTCTTATACTGACTGAATTTTTGGGGTCCCCATATTCTGGCACAAAAGCCACTGACATATATGGATTCTGATTAATTAGGAAAGCAAAAGAATTGTAAAAAGATCCACGGAAAAAGGTAGTTGAATGGTATTAAACAGGAAACGGATAAAAACCTCTCTCTAAGGAATTGAAAAGGCCAGTCGGCAATGTTCAAACAAAAGGAAAATCAAGGGCTCTGTACAAACCAAACCAATTTCAGGTAACACCAACAAAGATATTGTCCACAAAAGCCAGGAAAAAATTAAAAGACCTGCAAAGGGATGGATGGATGGATGGATGGATGGATGGATGGATGGATGGATGGATGGATGGATGGATGGATGGATGGATGGATGGATGGATGGATGGATGGATGGATGGATGGATGGATGGATGGATGGATGGATGGATGGATTAGGTGGATCAGGTGATTGATTAGAACTCGTAGTCCTCTGATGTTTACTCAGCTGCTGTGTCTCCTCTGCAGAACGATGACAAGGAAAATGCCGACCTTGGCTACATGACCTCAGAAAAGGCCTATAGGATTGTATTAGCTGGAGATGCTGCTGTGGGAAAATCCAGCTTCCTGCTTCGCCTCTGCAAGAATGAATTTAAATTAAACTCCAGTGCTACTCTGGGTGAGATGTATAAACTAAAAGTCCTCCCTCTTCCTATTGCTACATATTGCACTAGTGATACCTTGATGTGGAGTTAGTTTTTGTCCCTTTCTGTGTTCTCAGGAGTGGACTTTCAGATGAAGACACTCATAGTGGATGGTGAACCAGTTTTATTACAATTATGGGACACTGCAGGACAGGAGAGGTAAGCGCTAAAATCGGTATGATAAACAAGAACAATAAGATACAGAACAGACACAACCAATAAAGTTTATTGTAGCTATATATAAGAGCTATAATCTTAAAATAACTTAACCTCCTTGAGATGATATGCTCTCTTTTCATTGAAACCTCTCCTCTTGTCCCAACAGGTTTCGCAGTATTGCCAAGTCTTATTTCAGACGTGCAGATGGTGTACTCTTGTTGTACGATGTCAACTGTGAGAAAAGCTTCCTGAATGTTAGAGAATGGGTGGACATGATTGAGGTAAGACAAACCTTTGCTTTCCAGCTGGCTACATAGATTGTTTTTTTTCCCCACGATGTTTTAATCAATAAAGCTGATCAAGCTGACAAGTTAAACTTGTTAATCATTAATAATCAAAACTAAGTTGCATGTTTCTTTTCTCCTAATTGCAGCCGATATGTAAGTTTTCAAAGGATAGCATGCATTTGTTGTGTTTGGTGCCTTGTGATGTCATAGTAATGCATGCTTGGTTTTTAGCTGGTAGTGAGATGTTAGTAAAAAGAGGACAGGATATGTACACATAAGTCCCATTTACACTTTCCTCTGCAAACTGATCCGTGCCGAGGTTAGATCAGTTAACCATGCCGAGCTTGGTTCCTTAACGACCATTTACACATCACACTATCACATTTCCTCGCCTACTATTGATGATCTATGGTACTACTGCTCTCTAGTGGTAAACAAGCAAATCAACATGGCGGCGCCCATAAAGTCAGGTATACACTGTGTGATATTTTCAATAGCTAGACGTAGCTACAGCTCAAACTGCATGACGAAACCACAAGGTTTAAAATTTCATGATGTAAGTTCTCACACTGCGGCCTGAGGCTCTGATGCGATCTTGATGTTTGATTTTCACCCAACCTTACGACTCCTGCTCGGGAGGTGGTTGCGAGAGGTTGATCACCCCTCATTACCCCCTGTATACTACACGAGACACAACGTGCGATTAGGCTGAAAGTTGGCCTGATCCAAAAAATTCTTGCACAACTGGAGAATTAGCCCAAAAAGGGGAAAAAAATCATACAGTGTATGCCCGGTTTATCATTCAGGAAGAGTGCGGAGAGTCAGGCGAAGAAGGAATGATAGTCTAATCAGGGCTTTCAGATGCAGGAAACAATGACAAGATTTGAGGTTCATCACGCTGCTAAGCAGAATCATCACTGGATATCATGTGGTACGGTAGGGAGCAAGCTTGTGTTTCTATAAATGTCTGAAATTTCATGATTACGGAGGCCGACTGTAAGGAGATGAAACAGTCTGTTCATGCACTCTTTGTTATCTGAGAACCGAGCCAGAACTGAACCATGCCAAACCCTACTGATGAACTAGTACCATGTTAGTGTGGTTTGGTTGTGTCTGGCACGGTCCGGTACAGTTGTGCTTGCCATTTACACTCAACAGTCATCTTTGTTACTGTGCTCGGACTGACCTCCGCACAGTATCAAAGGGTTGTTAAAATAGGGCTGCACTGTGTTAAAAGCTGGTTAACATTTTTTAAGTCTTGTGTTCTGCTTAACCCATTTTGCTGTTCAATCAACTATTTGATTGAACAGGCAGTTAAAGGGGTTAATGAGGACTCAGTCATAGCTTGCATATCTCTTTTGTTTCATTTCTCAGGATGTGTCGCGTGATGATATTCCTATCATGCTCGTGGGTAACAAGTGCGATCTTCGACGAGACGGAGATGGCTGTGTTCCTACAAACTATGGACAAAAGCTTGCCATGGTAATACACTAGTAACAAAAAGCCTTTGTAAGAAAACAACAAAACAAAGTTTGTCAAAGTAGTTAAGTCTAAGCAATTAATTATTAAATATACTTAATAATATAGATTTGAGAGGACAATTAATTCTAATTTACCTTTCCTCAATTAGTAAATCAAAATAGATACTTTATAGTTATTTAACACCTTAAACATGAAAGAAACAATTCTATAAAAATAATATGAAGTCTATACAATAGTATAAAATTAAATGTGAAGGTATTCATACAATAACCTGATGGATAGCTCCTACGTAGAATCAGAATCCAGCCCAAATGTAGAGGAGCCTCCACAGCAAACTGTTACCTGTGGCACAAATGTATAAGCCATTCTTTGTCAAATAAATAAAACCTGATTCTCTTGTTGCAGCTTCGTTAAAATGATAAAGAACTCTGATGCTCCTAATTTCTTAACAGTAACAGCAGCAAAAGCTTCCATCCATCTTTCTTTTTCCAACCTTCTCTGTATTTCTGCAGTTTCCTATGTTTTCTCTTAACTAAAAGGAAACTTATCAACTGCTTTCTCCACAGACACACCCCAAAGTCACATTGGTTACATATTTCTTTCTTAGCCACAGTTTCTTCCCCCAGTTGCTAATACAGAGAATGATGATGTCCTGATTTTCAGAAAACAAATGTATCCTCTGTTTGAGCGACACAAGACATAGCCAGAGTAAAACTGACAGAAAGATCCTTTACATAATTAAACTTTGATTAATATGAATCTAATTCCATTAATTTGCTTTTAACTTCTCCTCACAGTTAGTTTTCAGACTGAGCGAGAAAAGACACTAATACTTTCAAATCAATCTCACAGAATGAATAATGTTTTTCTTCCTCTACCCACCAGACATACAACACACTATTCTGTGAAACCAGTGCCAAGGATGGCTCCAACATCCTGGAGGCTGTACTGCACCTGGCCAGGTGAGATGCTCTGTCTTCTTATCCTGGTTTGGTTAATGTTCTGCCTGATGTATCAGATTTCCCTGGCCAAAAAATGTTAGACGCTCTGTTACGTGTTGCCATTCTGGGGTTTGTTTTTACTACAAAAGCCTACAGTGAGGAAAATAAGCAGTTGAAAACCCTACTATTTTGCAATTTTTCCCACTTAGAAATCATGGAGGGGTCTGAAATGATCATTGTAGGTGCTTGTCATCTGTGAGAGAAATAATCTAAGAACAAAATCCAGAAATCACAATGTATGATTTTTTCAAGTAATGAAATTAGTTATAATTTGAATTATTACAAGATGTTGATGTCTCTCCTTTTTTTTCTTTTTTTGGATCTGACAGGTTGGTGAAAAAGCAGGCCACCTTTGAGGAGAAAATGCATCCGTCACTGCCAAGCTTGAGTACTCCAAAGAATAAAACAAAACTCTCTTGCTGCACCTGATCATATACCCCCATGCTGAACCTCCTCGCCTGTCCTCATTTGAAAAATAAAAAGAGAATAACTGCAGAAACCAAACAAATCAGACACAAACAATTAGCAAGAAACACACAAACAGGTTGTCATCAACAGCCAGAGCTGTTTTATTTATGGACAATGTGGCAGAAACAAGATTCAATTGGTGGATGTCAGAGCTTTTCAGTGACTGTAAATGTTTGGTTTGTGAAAAATATACTCATGATTATTATTTTTCTTTTGGGGGTAGGGGGGCTTTTCGACATATTTATAGGGCTTTTTTTTTTTTAATCAGTCAAAATTTTAACCCAAAGAGGAGCTGCAGTGAAGCATGTATGAGGAGTTGAAAAATCAAGTAAGTGGATGTGAAAATAATGAAATAATGATAAAAGATAATATAAGAGGCACAAATAAAGCTTTAAACACTGGTTGCAAAACACAGAAAGTGTTGAAAGTGAAAAGAATAATGAGACTAATCTAAGATGGCGATGTGCAGCTTACTTGACCATATTTTATGGTTTCAGGTACCATGTTGCAAAACGTCATTAAAATAATACCAAACAGTGTTAGATTATTCTTCCTTGTAGAGTTTATAGCTGTATTGTTGCTTTAAATATTAGGATTGTTCTAAGTAGTAAATAAAAGATATTAAGAAAAGTAGAACAGCGTACAGACTGTTAACTGTAAAAAAGCTGTACACAAATTTATTGTAAAAAAGACATGCATACATACTTTCCATTTTCAGTGCCAGAAAGTGACACATGTATATTTTAGATTAAAAGTTTGCAAAATATTTAAAACCCAAAAGTTCTGAAGACTCAAATCACTTTTTTTCAAAGACTCTCCAAAAAAACTTAAATTGTTCCACTTCCTAACAATACAGCATAAAAAAAGGAGCTGTTAATGTTTGCTCCAATGCTGACAGAGAAGAAATCCGGTAGAGAGAGCAATGGAAGTAAAATAGTGGTAATCCAAGCTCAGCAAAACTAAGCAAAGCTAAACACAAAAATAAAAAATAGAAACAGAAGCAGATGTGATTATCAAATAAATGGAAGCAGCTGAGTGGGAAACAAGGAGAATGAGGGCCCATCTCATTCGTACAGACTGGATAGTTAATTTAGCATAGAAATGTTTGCTGATGTTTCTGTCCCCCAAAGAGGAGCTTTACAGTATCCCACAATTCTTTGCTTGACAGGATTTACAGGAAGAGTCCACTGGTTAGAAAATACCAGATGGATTAAATCCCAACCAGGGTTGTTTCTGGATAGAGTGTCAATGTTCCCTCCAGGTTCCATAACCACTTAAAAACACTTAAATCACTTTTATTGAATATGTCAAGGACCAAGCAGTCATTCAAACAACAAACTTGTTGAAAAAATAGCCTCCGTTTATTTTTGCCATGGTACTAACAAGCAAAGTCCATCAAACAACTCAAAATTCAGAAAAAATGGGCCCAAAAGAAGATAACAACTAAGACCAATCTAACCAAGGATAAGAAACCAATGAACACATAGGCTAGAGTATTTAAACACATAGGCTAGCCAATAGACAACAAGGAGGGGAGAGAAAAAACTCAAGACAAACAATAAATAAAGCTATACAACTAAGTCAAACCTACAAATAACAACTGCAACACAATTATGAAACTAAGACATTCAAACACCACAATATATTTTCGAACAGTAGAACTTTGAGTGTTTAACAGCTTCTCCAGAGTCAAGTCCCCCCAGTGTCAGCGGCTTCTTGGATTCCTCCACTTCCTGGTGTTACACCTTATATGTTCCCCTGGCTAATTCATTCAACCTCAACAAAATAAAAAAAAAACAGTTGGGGATCTTCAAATACTGTCCATCGGGTGTAAATGTGTGCACCCATAATAGTAAACATCCTAAAATAGAGATGCTGTGTGAAAAAAACATTACGATATGGACACTGAAATAGTTGGAGGGACCTGCAAGTATAAGATAAAAGAAATTTTAAGATTAGTATAGTATTTTTAAATTTGAATTTAGCAATTAGCATATACAAATAGTATATGCTAATTGTATAGTATAGGTCTCTGTTTGAAAAACTACAACATATGTCTGGGATTCTGTAATTTGTGTGTTTGAGATGGCACAGATCCATGTCTACACCTCCCATCTGTTCACATTGTCAGCTGCTTGATGAGGCGAGACAACTCATTTGTCAAACATGTTGGGTGGCAGGAGTGGAGGTGGGGTGTGTGTGTTTTTGTATGTGTGATGCCAAGCAGAATGGATGCGTCCATGTGTGTTCAGCGGCAATAAGGGGATAATTAGATAAGGGGGACTGTGCAGCCAAAAAGGTTAATGGCAGTAATGAATATGTTAGTGAAGAGAAGTGCCATTTCTCTTCACTGGTCCGCATCTGCTGTTTTAGAACGTGCACTTTAGAAATTCAGCACAGCAAACCCTGGAAAATTCTGAATGCATTTTGTTTTATTTATTCTTGAGAATTGTATGAGGAACACAATAAAGGTTTAAAATGTTTGAACATGAGTGATTTTCCTTTAATCATGTGCTTTCTATCAACTACATTTATGTCAAATACATTTCAACCAGCCCTAAACTGACTTTTACATCATAGAAGCCTGGATCTCAGAATAATTTTTTAACGTCGTTGTTTTTTTTCCACTTTTTTTGCTTCTTCATAAAAAAAAAATCATCAAGGCTTGATATTATGCATTAGACATCCCACAGCTGCTAATCTTCTACAAATACATATTTTATCAATATTACTGTGCTGGAATATGCATTTATTTCTGCTAAACTGTTTAAATGAATTTCAAAGAGACTTTATTTTGCACAGCCTGGAGCAGCAAAACAAAACACAGACAATACACAGGGGGGATGGTGTCAGAGGTCTTGTTGCCCTCAAAAGGTGCTGTCCTTGCAGATTGGGGGGGGGGGGGGGGGGGGGGGGGGATAAAACTTTAGTCTAAGACTGCAAAAACAAAAAAGCTATAAAAGGCAATGCAATTTTGTATTTGTATAGCACAATTCAGTACAAGGGCAATTCAAAGTGCTTTACATTTATTAAACACCAAAATTGAAGAAAAATAAAAGCAGAATAAAACAATTGATGATAAAAGCAGATAATAAAGCAAATAAAAACATTTGGACCACAAAGTTAAACCAATAATACTGAAAAATTTGTCAAATTAGTTAATAGTCAACAATGATCTTATTTCAGTGCCACTGAAAATGTAATGAATGTATTATAAACAATACTTTAAATAAGCATTTACATCATTAAAGCACCTATTTCAAATCTCTCTTGAGTTGCTCTTCCATGAATGAAAAAAAGTGCTTTTTTACCATTATTTGTTTTAAATTTTGTTGTCACGTATCATGTTTACTTTTGAGATTAGAATGTATATTTATCTCAAAGTGTGCCACAGCATTTTGGCACTAAGTTTAAACTTCAAGAGTAGAACCTGCTAAGATATTACCTGCAGTAACAGAAATATAATGTGTGGATCCCTCAGTGGATTGGGTAAAGCCAGCCTGATGCCTAATTAGAGAACAGTGGGTCTGCTATGAGCATTGGCTTAAAGGGTTCTCCTCTCCTCCTTGATATCAAGGACCTTTTTACATCTCAAATTTTAATTTGTCAGAGATAAATGAAGACAATAAACCTTCAAGATGGTCTAAAACTTCACTGAAAATGAGTGAAATAAAACATGAAATATGAAGTTTCTTTTTAAGACAAAAAATATGATCTCTCAGGAGTACAGGAATGTTTTTAGGATGTGAATGTTAAAAAATACAGCACAGTTTATCCTATTTCAACACAGCTTTAATAGAGCTTTAATAATTCCGATCCCTCAAGCTTGTACCTCAACAAAAGAATATAACCACACGGTTAAAACATTAAGATAAGAGCGGGCGGGGTTTCTGAGTGTGTGAGGGGAGAAATGTTGCTACCATCTGGGAAGGTCAAAGGTCAGACAACAGGCCTAATTCTGATGACATCTGGGACAATATGCTGTCTGTCCAAATCGATGCCCATGTCAGACACGAGCCAATTTTAGACACACATGCACACATGCTGCCTTCTGTTTTATCATAGAAATGTTGGTGTCATCTTTTATTAAAATCCCCAAATATGTCTGCCATTGTAGAAGTAGGTGACAATGTGTTGTCACAATTCATTGGCCTTGACAAAAACCCACTGAGAGAGAAGAATCTAAATAACATAATTGATATTTAGGAAGTAATCAACTTTTTATTCTTTGTGTGTCCCAGGGTTGGTAATCCTCCCTGAGAGTAGGAAGGCAGAGAGATAGAGAGGATGTCTTCATTTAGCTTTTAAAATCCTAGTCAGGTTAACTGTCATAGCTGATCAGGACCTAACAGCTACATACATAGTTAATTTATCACATTGTTAATATGATTTATATGTAAAACTAATATGTAAAACTAATCTAATGGTGCTTGCTATAGAGAAGACAACCTTTAACATGTTTTATTTGAAATGTATGTGGCAGTCCATCACAAATCATGAATGTGTGGTTTCAAAAAGTCAAGCATAATTTGCATTTAGACCCCTTAAAACTACAATTAGAGCTGCAACTCTTAGTGCATCCATCTATCAGCTTCAAGTACCAAAAAACAACATTTTTGCACACTGTTCTTTGCAACAACAAAAAAAGACATCCAGTCACACTGTACAAATAGAAGCAAGTTTCATGTATTGCAATATCTTCATAGGGTGTAGTAATAGAATTAAGGACTAAGACGGACGCTGCATGGGTTCAATCCCAGATTGCCTACTGATGGGGGTCAGAGGGCCAGGTGGCACCTCTCTACAGCAGCCTTGCCCCTGTCTGTCTGCCCCAGGCCAGCTGTGACTATAGCATCTGCTGTGTTTCTTGCTCCTTTTAATGTTGATGGTACTTTAATATTCTTAAACAAACTTTGTATCATTTTGCAGAACAGCTGGATTTAATTACATACCGCTACATACAACAGGCTCTCAAAGGGGGATGAATATAGATGCATGGCAGAGAAAGAAAGAAAGAAAGAAAGAAAGAAAGAAAGAAAGAAAGAAAGAAAGAAAGAAAGAAAGAAAGAAAGAAAGAAAGAAAGAAAGAAAGAAAGAAAGAAAGAAAGAAAGAAAGAAAGAAAGAAAGAAAGAAAGAAAGAAAGAAAGAAAAATCCATTAGAAGTACACTATATTGCCAAAAGTATTTGCTCACCTGCCTTGACTCACATATGAGCTTAAGTGACATCCCGTTCCTAATCCATAGGGTTCAATATGACGTCGGTCCACCCTTTGCAGCTAGAACAGCTTCAACTCTTCTGGGAAGGCTGTCCACAAGGTTTAGGAGTGTGTTTATGGGAATTTTTGACCATTCTTCCAGAAGCGCATTTGTGAGGTCGCACACTGATGTTGGACGAGAAGGCCTGGCTCTCAGTCTCCGCTCTAATTCATCCCAAAGGTGTTCTATCGGGTTGAGGTCAGGACTCTGTGCAGGCCAGTCAAGTTCATCCACACCAGACTCTGTCATCCATGTCTTTATGGACCTTGCTTTGTGCACTGGTGCACAGTCATGTTGGAAGAGGAAGGGGCCAGCTCCAAACTGTTCCCACAAAGTTGGGAGCATGGAATTGTCCAAAATGTCTTGGTATGCTGAAGCATTCAGAGTTCCTTTCACTGGAACTAAGGGGCCAAGCCCAGCTCCTGAAAAACAACCCCACACCATAATCCCCCCTCCACCAAACTTTACACTTGGCACAATGCAGTCAGACAAGTACCGTTCTCCTGGCAACCGCCAAACCCAGACCCGTCCATCAGATTGTCAGATGGAGAAGCGCGATTCGTCACTCCAGAGAACGCGTCTCCACTGCTCTAGAGTCCAGTGGCGGCGTGCTTTACACCACCGCATCCGACGCTTTGCATTGCACTTGGTGATGTATGGCTTGGATGCAGCTGCTCACCCATGGAAACCCATTCCATGAAGCTCTCTGCGCACTGTTCTTGAGCTACATGAAGTTTGGAGGTCTGTAGTGATTGACTCTGCAGAAAGTTGGCGACCTCTTCGCACTATGCGCGTCAGCATCCGCTGACCCCGCTCCGTCAGTTTACGTGGCCTACCACTTCGTGGCTGAGTTGCTGTCGTTCCCAAACACTTCCATTTTCTTATAATACAGCTGACAGTTGACTGTGGAATATTTAGGAGCGAGGAAATTTCACGACTGGATTTGTTGCACAGGTGGCATCCTATCACAGTTCCACGCTGGAATTCACTGAGCTCCTGAGAGCGACCCATTCTTTCACAAATGTTTGTAAAAACAGTCTGCATGCCTAGGTGCTTGAATTTATACACCTGTGGCCATGGAAGTGATTGGAACACCTGATTCCAATAATTTGGATGGGTGAGCAAATACTTTTGGCAATATAGTGTATATTATTTATTATCTGCGTCCTTTTGTTTTTTGTTTGCAGTCACGTCCCTTTGCTTGTATCTTTTTGCCTTTTGTGTGATTTGTCTGCGTTGTGTTTTCCTGTTTAAGCTGAATGAGTAGACCTTAGATACAGGGAACCACAACTACTGTGGATAAAAATAAAATATAGGAAAGATATCCTTGCTACTTCATGTTAAATAATATTCTTTTAATACTCTTTTAAAATACAAAAGGGAAAATTGTCTTTAAATTTGACTTTACCCCCACAAAAACCTGGGAAAAAAAAGTTGGAGTAGGTGAGTTGAATATCCTGAAAGAAGAGTCTGAGTTCATGCTAAATACAAGGTGATATATATATACAGTAATTGTTCAAAAAAAAGCATCCTGAGGACAGATCAGCTTGTCCCTGTGAGTGTCACACCTCTCCGAATCAGTT